ACATGTCAGCAGGGAATTAGCGATGCCAAATTAGCCTCCTCATAAACCCCAAACTCACTGTATACTGGTGGGAATACAGGATGACATACGGGTGTATTAATGTGTGTTGATACATTGTTGGGTTGATGTTCATCACACTCCTCAGTTAACCCTCTATGGTAGGCTTAACAATGCCATTTACACTAAAATAACATTTTGAGTCCTAATACAGACCACAAAAACTATCTAAATATTGTGTACATATTTGTCTACATTTCTCTTTTTTTGCTTACAGTAATCATTGCATCATAAAACATAAAAATGAAAAGGCTATCAATACTTTTAAATCCCAAAAGTTTGGAAAGCAATATGAGTGTATTATGAAAAAATTATGGTAAGATTTTAATGGTGGCTTTAATTCAATTCCTAACTTTTAATTAAAATCATTTTATTTGCTATTAGATGGAGAAAAACAACTAGTTTACATAATTTCAACAAGTCGTTATATGTAATGATTTGCAAAGGGTTTAAACGTGGCATAATAACAACCCGGGCCCTCTTTTAACCCAACAAAAACTCTTACTTCTGTAATTCTCTGACCTCTATAATCATTTGAAAAGCAACTAATGGTCACTTCTTGACCAGGAATTGTCTTCCACCTTAGAACATGATACATTATTTTATTTTTTGCCCTTTCTTCTGTCTGTCTTCTGTCTGTAGGTTTTCCCTCAAACCTCCATTTAATTAGATGAACTCTTTTGATTTAAATGTGGAGCAGCTCTTATATCAAGGGTTGAAAAAGCTGCTTCCCATTATTTAATACCATGGTAAAAAAAAATATAAACTCACTCTGTTGTCTATTACCTGTATTAAATACAATTATTCTTTAATTGTAATACATCAGAAAAGAATAGAGAGGAGCTAAAGAGCTGCACAAACTTGTATGAAAACCTAAAGTAGTTTCTGGCACAGAGGGAGAGATTCCTATGAAAGCAATGTTGATCTCTGTTTTGGATTCTTACCAGAAACAAGCAGCTGTGGACAAAGCTGTGGGAAAGATTTCAAGGTGGAACGATGACTGGACAGTTCCAGTTAAGAAGAATCCAGAACGACCAGCCTCAGAATCTCAGCTGCGTATTAAATGATTTATGCCCTGTGGGGGAAAGAGATGAATCTCGATTACTTTGCTGTGACTGATGAGATAAACATGTCAGATGATTTACTGAAAGACGAGGCCAGAAAACACAGACTGTAAACAAACCAAGGAGAAGTTATTTCCAATGATGATTTGGTAATCAGACTGTGGATATTGTGTCTTTTTATTTGTATTTGTTTGGAGAAAACGTAAAAAATTACCTTAAAAAGTATTTACACACCTTACTCCGGCCCATTTGTTTGACAACCACCAGCTGCTGTATATTTCTTTTAAACATCTGTATTTTGTGCAATATGGAACCACAAGGATACATGTTTGTAAAACCTTTAAACAAATAAAACCTAAGAAGAAGGGGTATTCATTTGAATGAGTCACTAGATTTGCTGCAACAAGAGCTGGAAGTCATTTAAGGCGTGTCTCTTTGCAGATAGACTGTAATTTTTGCTACTTTTTCCTTGCAAAGTAGTTCGGGCTCATTTAAATTGGTAAAAGTGTCTATTAATATTGACTTTTTACATTTCAACACGGATCTTTTTGTCCATTCTACACATGAATATGCTTGAATTAAGGAATACCGCCATAGTTTTTTTTTTTATCCCAGGACTCTTTTTGTACCAGCCCTATTCATGTCCCCATTCACTCTGATCATCACCCATAAAGAACCTACACCATGATGCTACCACCACCATGTTTCACAATGGGGATGTTGCACTAAGGGTATGCATTATGCATAGACTCCAAAAAGTTATTTTATTGGTCTCATTTCTACTACCTTCCTCACATCAAAGCAGTTTTTGTTGTATAAAAGTGCATTTTATTCAACAATATCTATCTTTTTGCAATTTATTTATAAAAGACCGATTAAAGAGGTAAGAAAATAATAATCATATTGTCAACAAATTCCTCCACCTCATCCTTGGATCACTGTAGCTCCCACACAGTTATAATGGGCCTCTTGTCTGATTATCTGCTAAAGATGCTAAAGATCCAGGAATGTCCCTGAAAGGTTTTTAGTTGGGTGAAGTGGCTGCACTGTGTCCATTAGGTGTACATTAGGTTTTTTGAACCCAACCCTGCTTTAAACTAATTCATTTGTTCATCTTTAGTAGAACTGATTACTATAATGGTGTCCTCATTGGTCTGCCTAAAAAGCTGCTCAAAATCCTGCTGCCTGTGTCGTGACCAAAACTAAGTGGAGCACATCAGCCCAGTTCTAAAGTCCATACACTGGTCTCCCACATCTCAGAGACTAGACTTTTAAAAATATCAATTCAGTCTATAAATCGCTAAATGGCATAGCTCCAAAATATATTACAGACTTGTTGTCAGTGGATCAACCGCTTAGACCTCTCAGGTCCTTTGGTTCTAATCTACCTTGCAAACCTGGAACCAAACATGGAGACGCATCATTTAGTTCTTATGCTCCACTAATCTGGAATAAACTCACTGAAAACTATAAAACCATTGAAATCCTCAGTTTTTTTTAAAATCAAGGTTAAAAACAGAGTTACCTTTGACAGTGCTATCTAAACATTATTAGTTAAAGGTATAGTGAAGGATGTCCTTTTTCCAGGTGGATCATCAAAATAAGTGGTCTTTCTAATTGTCAATCATTCTGGGGATATGTTGACGCAAGGCCGTCCTATGTGCTCGTCCCCATTTTTACTTACCGTTTGTGAGACTGACATTATGATAAAATTGCAAATCTTCTTCTGGTAAGTAAGCTTTTAAACAGAGCGTGCACGAGGAGAAATGGGCTCGTGCACGCTCTTGCACATGTTTAATAGGCGTTCCCTCTTCAGAGCGGGTACAGTTTTTTTTCCTTGCTAAACATTTTTTTTTATTTAATCATCTTATTTTAATCAATTGATTAAATAATTATAAGGCGACAGTAGCATTTGATTCAGGAGTTTTCCTTGTAGCTGGGTACATTTGGGTGAATGGGTGAATTACTGAATGTAGTTTAAAGCTCTTTGGTCAACTCTCCTTACTTGAAAAAGCACTATAAAAGTACAGGCCATTTTAATTTTAGTTATTTGTGTTGACTTTATGCCATGGCAATGTACTTTTCTTTTTCTTTAAGCTTTGAGTTTTCATGCTACTGAATTGTGCTTTATAAATAAACTTACTAACTAATAAGGCCAGTAAATTGCTCTGAATTTTATTCTAAGGTATTAGAGTAAAGGGGGTGGATCACAAATGCTTAATTAACTTTTAAGACTTTGGAAAACATTGCATATTTTCACAGTTATGTGGAACTTTAAGTTTGAGAGTTATAGGTTTATCATGAAAAACAAATGGAAAACAGAGGAGGAAATGGTTTTGTAAGGAACTGTAGATTAGTAATTCTTTATCAAGCAGCTGCAGAGTCTGGGATGTTTGCAGGGTCTTAAAACAGTGACCAATATTGTGCGTGTTTGCATGGTTGGATAACAAGCTAAGTAACTGTAAAGTTCTCCTGAAAAAAGGCGCACCTTTCCCGTTTCAGCTCTCATCTCTTGAGCTTTGTCTCCGACCGCTTCCCCTCAGACTCCCACAGGGACTGATGGAAGTCTACACCCAAAACAACTTTCTCTCGACACGAGAATCTCAGTTTCTAAGTGGTTCCTGCTTTGACTTGTCCACATCTCACACCAGCCACAACACGGACAGAAAGAAAGAAAAACAAGAGGAGTCTGTAGAAAATGAAAGGATGTAAGAACCACATGAATTTCTTCATTCAGAAACGGTGATTAGACATTTTCACGATTTCTGTGCAACATATTAAAGTCCAAACATTCTGTTGTTAGACACATTCAAACAAGCTTTTTCTTTTGTGGCCTTTGCAAAGAAAACTCAAAACTATGCAAGTGTGACAACAGTGACATAAATTGTGGACGGGGGGTCTCAACAAAATGACAATAGCGCAGGAAGTTCAGCTTTGTCAAAATGTCAAATGATATATAGGTGAGGGGCAATAATCAGTGGCTCTTTGTTTAGGCTTATCAGACTGGAGCAGTAACTTCAGTTAGGCTGGAAGGGAGGGTGTGTGTGTGTCTGCAGGGTGCACCCCCCCTTCCATGCAGGATGTTTTAAAGGGGCACTGAGGCAATAAATGGCTGGGGAGGATCCATCACATCAACTCTTGATGCAGACGCCAAGCAGGAGGATTGGGCAGGCAGTTCCAGGACGCCTGTCAAGCTTTTGTGATCCTTTAAAGTTAAACCCCATGTAAATTCTCCCAGCTGCTGTATTACAGAACCGGCTTAATGCTCGCAATAAATCTCAGGTTTTACTGAGGTGTGCACGACACAGTTTAATTCAAAAAGAAGAAACAGGTGGTGAATTTACTGCAGAAGGCTCAGGGAAAGGTGGACAGGCTTTGTGTTTATGCAGTCCAAGCAGAAAGGGCTGTGCTTTCATTGTGTACACGTGGTCAGGATGAAACGAGCGACTGTGTGGCACCTTCGGCCCAGTCTGGTCTGCCACACCACTCCCTAATGGCAATTTATTGCTTCCTGAATCCTGAAAACAGGAGGCAGAGGACAACGGGATTCCAACTGCTGTTTTCAACCTCCTTCCCAGTTCAGACTCCGACCGTCCCCAGTGCCCTCCGCCTGCCAAAGTGCACCACAGTCCCTAAATCTCTCTAGCCTTTCAGGCCTTCTCCCTCTCACAGGGACAGCATTTGTTCTTGGCTTTTAGGAATCTGATTCATGGGTACTTGAAGTGTCTTATGCCTGAGAACCTTTTACTGTGGAAGAAAGCTTGAAAACTCCTAGCGTAACATAGGCTGAACAGTTCAGATGTGGAAAGTAAAGAGTCAGAAATTAGAAACCAAACAATATTTATGTTTTTCCATAAAGAATATTTTAATAGCACAAAACAACATAAAAAAAAATCAACAGAACTTTAAGTTTTTGTGTCTTTATAACATTTCTTATGGACATATTTACATTTAGTTTCATATAAACATAAATTCACAGCAGAAAAAAACAATATTGGCAGTATAAGCATTTAGGCATAGAACTTCAGCATGGTAATTTGGTGTGAACCTTTTTTCTCCTTGAACATCTAGTGCACATGAAACCTGGATTGCTTTTTATACACCATTAAAACTACAAATGCACCAATCAGGACTTTGAAACCCTTTTCTGATGGCTCTGACCTCTGATACTGATTTTGGCCAGTTCAGATTTCTTTTTAAAAATGTATTTTCTTATACAAAAACATAAGAACAGCATTTAAATTCCTTAGTTTGAGCCTTCTTGTTGTGAGAGATAATTAATTATACAGTAATAGCAGATGAGATATATCGCCGTAAAGCTGTTTTTTCTCATGTTTTAAAAGAAAGGCAGGTGTCCTTCTAATTTTCCACTGATTAGAATGGCTAACCTTCATAAAATAGATCTTCCCTTGAGAATTATTGCAACTCTGAAATTTCCAAAAGGCTTCCAGAATGTTTCTAGACAGCTAAAAGCTCAGGAGTTCGCCCTTCCTGTTATCTGCTATAAGTACTGGTCTCTCCGGCAGCTTGAATGAAAGGAAGATATTTCATATTATGCTTTTGCCGTTAAAAGCTTAGAAAACTATCTTGAACTCAAGTCCTTGAGTCCTGCTGCAATTTTTAGATGTGCCTCTTAGTTGATAAAGCTGAAAATCCTCAGATTCAGGTCAAACACCAATTTCATGCTACATCTCTAAATAAAAGGCATATTTTCATTTTAACTAGACCAACACTGATAGGATGAATACATGTATCACAGGTTCCTTAAATTCACTTGTATTTCTTTTACCATAGCCAGACAATAGTTATTAATAGAATGTGTATAATGCGAATTGTCTTCAGTTTTATAAATATTTGCTGAATCCTGGCTTCAAATTAAGGGCTGTTTCCATCAATCTCCAGTTTATTTTATCATTAGATTTGTTGGCAGGTGGCATTGAATAGAAAATAAATGTTTTTACTCTCCCGTTACTATATTTCTTCTTAACTTAAACTGCTCCAACAGCCTTGTTTTACTACTGTATGGTCTCTCTATTCTGTACATATATTAAAATTCTTCGTTGATCCACTATGCTACATATAGTTGCTTTTCTCATTTGGTTTTTAGTGCTTGCAACATTTCACTTCAAGGCCATTCTCTTCTCCTTAATGAGTGCAAATAATGTTCTGTGATTCTTTTCCAGAGGTTTCTATGTGACCTCCTTGATAACATGACAACACAAGCGGAGGAAAGACCATCTGCACATGATCCAACCAAAAAGAAAACATAGAAAGGTGTTCTGAGGTGTTTTTCTATGAAAACCTTGGCTAGCAGACAGTAAGCTTGCTGCTGGATTTTACATTGTTTTCCTGAGTTTTAAATTAGACAAGAATGAATGGCTTTTCCGAGCATAGGCTCTCTGATCCCTATTTGTTCAGATGTCCACCGCCAAGTCCTTTCATCCATGTCTAGGAAGTCATGACTCCACCTTGTCTTTTGGACCATGACTGCTTATTGCACTGAAATGCCTGATGGCAGAGGGTTCATTTCTCTCCTCAGTCCTTTGGAATGGCCACATCCACCGGTGGCTCCGTGGCTACAACGGTGTTGATTTGCTCGCTGCGGCCTCCTCCTGGACAGGGCTCAATCTGGCCGGGCTTTCAGCTCCACGCTTTGATTCTGCAGTGTAGATGAGCAGCACCAGAGCTTCTCAGTCTACGGGCAGTTCACAGGGGATCTGCTGAGCTGCTTTGGCCACAGTGTAAGTCCTCAGGAAGTCCTTGTAGCGTGGTGCACACCCCAGCCAGGCCTCCCCGAAATGGACCCTGCCAGTGAAGAGGAAACTGCCTGGTCCCGGCTTGACACCGCACTGTAGCAGAGTCCGGATTTCACCACGGCTGGCCAGCCGACTGTTGCTGGTGAAAAGGGTGTACTTCTGACGAAAGACCCGGGTGGCGCTGACCTTGATCACGGCTGCTCGAAGAGTTTCATCCTCCTCAACAGAGCGGATGTTCCCTCGCACAACTGAGAAAAAAACAAAACAGGACACTTAGGTTTCTGTTGCTTGTTTTAAAACACGTTTAACATAACATTAAATGTAGTAAAGAAGAAAATTCTGTTCAGCTTCTGTAAAGCATTGGGTGAATATTAACTTTTCAAAACATCTGGTCTCCCTAATAATCTGTCTAGTAGTAATTGCCGTCAGGACATCTTCCTCCTTTGGTTCAAAGTGGTTCTAATGACGGTTCAGTGCCCTTACTAGAAACACTCAACGATGTGTCCAACATAGGAAATTTGTCTTTTATCATTATTGTCTTTTTCTCTAAACCTTCACTTCTTTGTTTTACAAATGTACCTATGAGAATTTAGTATCTTTTGATTGTCAGCTCATTTTATACGAACAAAGATACTACTATGTCCTTTTTTAACTTCTACATTCTGATCTACAAAGCCTTAATGTTCCTGTTTCATGCAGGAAGATAATTAATGGTGCCGCCTCCAGCCTCAGTTTGCTGTGTAAATATCTTTTTTTTTTAAAGCTGTCCAATACAAATTCACATTGATAGAATAGCTGTTGTTTAAAAACAGGAGTGATTTTCACAAAATCCCTAAATTCCCCATTTAAGGGCTTCTGTTTTGATTTTCTAGTTTTTGTAATAGTGCCAACTTGAATCTCTGGTATCTTACCAAAGTCACTGGTGCAAACTGCCATTAGGATCTCTGTATCATTGCAGGGCCTGCATGCATCTGAAGAGACAACAAGTAGCGGCAGAGTTAGTTGATGACACCCAACAAGGCAAAATTAAATAAACACCAATATGCAAATCCCCTGGAAATGAAAAAGATCATGTATATGTCACACTCAATGAAACCGTAACCTTCATCTTAAAAGAACACAAGTATAGAGGGAGGGATGAACCGCTGTAATAAAACCGACAGCTGCTGCTTTTTACAGAGGCAGAGGATGACCAGAGAAGGTGAGAATCCTCCAACACAGAGATTTTAAAGGGTGAACTAAACCTCTGCACTAAAGCCTGTCAGGGTGTCTGAAATCACACCTCCTCCAAGTCCAAGGGGAAGGGGTGAGGGAACTTCTCTACTTCCCAGAAAACAGAAAACCTTTATAATAAAAGCTATAAAACACTTTAACATAACAGTTACTTAAGTTTAGATTTATTGATAAACCCAACATGCTGCATTGCCTGAACTATGGCTTGAAGAAGAAAATGTAAAATTTTTAAAGTGCACTACCCCCCCAACCCAAGATAACATTCCAGTCTTTAGTGAAAACTTCTTGATAAATGGGATTCCTTCCTTTCTACCCCCCCCACCCCCGCCTTTCAGCCTAATAACAGTGTGTATATGTGGGTGAAGGAGGGAGGGGCTGGGCTCCTGCAGACAAGTTCCCCTACAGGGAGGCAGTTCCACAAAGGAGCAGAGCATCTCAGCTGGGCAGAGGCCTCTGTGTTGCCTAGGCCACCGGAGTAATCCCAGAATACTCATGTGGCACTCATTCAAAGGGCTGTGGACTCCTGAGAGATCCCCCAAATACTGAGCTTTTGTCCCCCCCTCCTCAACCCTCTCCAGCTCCAAACCAGCACGGCTCTGGAGTTAGTTTGGCGTACTCCTCCCCTCTGCACCCAGCATTAAAACCCATACAGACCTCCAATTTATATTTTGGTCAATGGTTCATATTAATTTCTTTGCTGTCGAACCGTAAAGCCCCTTAAACATCTCAGAGGTTTAATCTAAAAATGTTTTTTTTTTTTTTTTACTAACAAGGTTAACTCACCTTCAGTGCTGATGGAGTTGGAATCCAGCGACATGCGAGCCGTCCAGTCCCCCCTCAGTTCATAACGAAACGAGGCAATCCTCCTGCTGATGTCCTGATGGGGCGTCGCCTGCACGAACAGGGCTAACCTTTCTCCTGGTGTCCAGCTGAAGCAGCGCACCCTTGGGGGAGGGGATGATTCTATCCTGTCCCCCACCAGTAGCTCGAGTACCCCATCCCTCTCCAGGTAGAGTTGGGCCCCGTGAAACTGCTCAGAGGGTTTTACGCAGGCAGTGATGACCCCAGAGCTGCCACCACCGCCAGGTCCCACTGCCCCCATGGGGGACAAGCGAGGTGTGAGGGTGAGGCGCAGGGCTCCTTTGGGATACAGCCAGTCCAAGGTGCCCTCTGAGCAGTGGAGGGAGATCTGCTCCACGCTGCCCTGCTCCTGGGACAAACCACTGTGAGGGAGGGGAGGAAAAATACAAAATTAATATCTTTAAATATAGTCTATATCCATTTGCTAGTGCAGGGGGGACTGAACCCTCTGTCCAGCAGCATTACAGGCAGCGTAAAGACAGTTGGTCCATAACAGACTGTAATAAGGGGGATTGGTGGCCTAGTGGTTCAGGCATCAAGCTTTGAATCCATAAATCTCTGAGTTCAAACCCACTCCCACAGCCTCCACTCTGGGAGCAAGACCCTTAACCCCCGATTGCTTCCTGGGTGCCCTATGATGGCAGCCCACTGCTCCCCAAGGGTTAAATGCAGACATATATTTCTCCAATGTGAGATCAATAAAGTTAAATTATTTTTTTTATTATTTTTTTTTACTAAATTAAACAATGAAAACCCATCAATAAATAATGTGCATCTCGTTTTTATGTCCAATATAGCAACCGATTTATATTACTCAACCCCAGTCCCTATATTGGGGCTGGGTTAGAAAATATTGCCTAACATAGGTACCTGATTTCATGAAGTGCTTTACATCATTATATTATTTATTGTGCATTTTTGCACTATCCAATTGGGGGTCCAGTATTTACTCATTTCCCTTCCCCTTTAGAGAGCTTAGTCTTGTCTTACTCTTGATACAAACTTTTGAAACTTTCAGGCCTCTACTTGATGGCCCCAGGAGATAAAAAGGTCACAAAGTTTACACTATGGTGGCAGATTATCAATGGCCCTTGGGCTTCCCACCCTTTGAGTCGCCCCTGTGCATTAATGAATGAAAAAAGTTTTTTTTTTTTTTTTTATGTTTTATTACTTTAGAGAAATAAATCAATAAAAAAGAAAAAACGCGCCACCTGCTGGCTGAGCTTAAACAAAAAAAAAAAGTTTCATTTGGCATCATGACATCACCAGATTTTTTTTTAACTATTTGATTAAAATTTAAGTAAATAATAGAAGAAAATATGCAATTAAAACAAAACGGTTTTTCTGTTTGTTTGTTTTTTTTTTCACACGAGGCTCTAAATAAATCCTGCTGCCTCCTGCCTGTCTGCCTCCTGCAGACAGCCCAGAGGCGCGTTCGCTGCAGAGCCAACCCAAACATTTTAATTACACTCAAACAAGTTTCAGCCTGTTGCATCCAAAGGCACCTGTAACCTGTCTTTGTGAAAACATATGCACACGGAAAAACAATAAATAAATAAAAGAAACACTTGCCTTCCTCTCCAGCTACACTGGTCTTCCGAATAATTTGAAAAGCACGAATGAAAAATGCCCAAAAGCAGGATCCAGGTAGAGTTAATCCGCAGCCCAAAGCCAGGCATTTTCAACCGATCACAGTGCAAAAGAAAAAAATATATTTATAAATTTCCAAAACCGATCAGAAAGCGAATTCCCTGTAAACTGAAGTCCTATCTCCGGTCATCTCCATTTATCTGCATCTCCAAACCCTGATGCGCGCAACAGGACACCAGAGCGCCTCTGCGCTCTGCAGACACAGAGCTGTGAAGTTATTCCCCTCTGGAAAAACTTCAGCGACCAATCAGAGGCCGAGCAGGGAAACTTTAAACCACTCTGTCAGAGGGTTAAAGGGGTGGGGGTAGTCTGGCCCAAATCAGTAACTGTATGCAAAGATAAACCTCCTATTGTGTTGGACAGGTCTGCATCGGAATTACAAATGAACCTAATGCACATGAATTACAAACTATTTAAATAGTGGGCGTCAAGTATTGTTTTTGCATCTCATAATGCAGAAATAAATTAGCATGTTGGGTGTGTCTGTCACAGAACAAAGAAATGTTAAATTTTAACAAATTTAAAACTAATAAAGATATGAAAACAACTTTATGACTGTATAAAAGCCCTTGTATCTGGGCTTATTTCTCTTATTAGTAATTATGATAATATGTTGTTAAAATAATAAAAAGGAAAGGTTAAAAAAATGTAGAGCAACTATAAAACTTAAATTCTGTGAAAAAAAATAACTTATATTTGGTTATTTAGTGTTAATTTCACACTAAAAAGAGGGATTAGTGATTCGACACAGTATTCTGGGTTAGTAATTTTACCCAAAAAATGGGCTAAAGTAGCTTAATGTCTACTATTAAATTTACCTAACAATGATTCTTTAACTCTGTGTACTTTTCTACACAAGAGTTAAAAAAGAAATGATCAAAAACAAAACAAACCCTAAGTACCATTTTATTTAAATACAAAAAACCAGGTTTTAATCAATACAGAATATTTTCACCAAGTATTTGGTTAAAGTGTGAATAATGAACCATTTAGCACTTCTTTGCACTACATGCTGATGTTAGAGTGAACAAACTTGCTATTTAGCGAGAACCAATGTCCTTGACACAACAAGAATTGATATTAAAGGGTTAGTTAAGGAAGTTTTGAAGTCCTTTGAAAATGAAAAAAACAGAGGGAGGTCTTTGACTGTTGTCTCAGCAAGTAGGCAGAGCTGCAGTACTGGCAGGGGTGCTGGATAGCTTCCCTCTCTACGCCCATGTGGAAAACCACAGTGTCACCTCAAAATCAGATGCAAATTTATTGCCAAGTAGGTTTGCAGTTACATGGAATTTGACTTGTAAGACAAATTTGATATATATACAGAATACAGAATCTATAGACTTAGACAGATTTTATTTGTCATTTTGTTTAACAAGTGTAAAACAAAAAGAAATTTCATCTGGAAACAGCTCACTGGACTATCACTATCTATATACAATATAAAATGTACAATATAATATATACAATATATAGTGCATAGCTATATACTATATACCTAGTAGGATTGTCCATTTCGAATACTATGTTCAAATATAGTGATGCTCATCGGTGCACTCGGCACCTGCACACCTTAAGTCTGGACCTGATGATCCATTTTATAGTCGTGTCTTCTGGCCTTCAGCCTCATGTCTTGGACACTCGGGTGAAGAGAGGGGCAAACACTGCAGCAAACTTGTAACATTCTACATGTATGATTTTATCATTTCTTATGAGCTTCAGTCATCACCCAATTTCACTTGAACAGCCATGAAGAGTTTTTAAACACAATTTGCATGACAGTAAATCAGTAAACAGTGAATCAGTGAAAAACACATTTGAATGGGACCTCCTGGGCCCTTCTGATCAAAATAACAACCTGGTTGATAGGTAAGGTTGAGTAACACAAAACCTGTCAGCATTTAATAAAACTTGTAAAGTATTCCTAATGTTAATGATTTTTGTTTACTATTATTTTTTCTTAAAACCAATCCAATCCCAAAACATCATGGTGGTTCATTAAGATTACTTTTCTAATGACTAATCACTAAAGGCATTTATCGGTTGACTGTAGCCGTAGGGACCAACTAATCTAGATTTTTAATCATTTTAGACTTATTTGATGCAGGTAAAATGTTTATTAGAACCCCAATTTAAAAATGTTAAATGGTTGATGGTTTGCTGTGATCAGGCCAAATTTAAGTTTTTAAAATGTACCTACTATAAAACATGGCATGCGTTTTATAAATTCAGTTTTCACTCTTTATTTTTGTAATGATGGCTTTAAATCAACAATGTTATCTAAGTTCTGTGGAAAACGACACACATTAGCAATATAAGCTGTAATGCAGCACAGACCACAGTTCAATAACCTGGTTCTCAGACATACCATATAGGACGGGGATGACATTGATGATGACCCCCTCTCCCACTGTTTTACCCCCTGCTCCCTCCGCTGCCTGGCTTCTCTTTTATGTTGCGGTATTTATAACCAAATCCAAAGTTCCTTTGTGCCAATGCTGCTGTCCAGCTCCACGAGCCAGCAACTTTTCACCACATATATGTGATTGACAAAGGTTCAGTTATGACAAGGCTGCAGCTCCACACAAAGGCTCATGTGCAGGAATCCAGCTGCTTTATTGTCTGCAGCAGGGTGGAGCTTTGTTTTCCTTGAAGCAATTCAAAGCAGAGTTTAGAGCACAAAGTGACAGGGTGGGTTTTCCAGTACAAGGAGAATGAATATATTGGGGGCTAAATATGGATTCCATGAACATGTCAAAGCACCCACGTGTGCACATTGTCTTCAGACGTATACAGTCCGTTTTACGCATTTTGTCACATGCAACAGCGTGCATGCTTTGATGCATGCATCTGTTAAAACAAAAGCTGACACAAACCATCTGGCCTTGACATGATGTGAGCTACGGGCTCATTCAGCCGGGCTCAAATCCAGAACTTTCATTTTTGGAATTTTTTTGAGTATAAAAACATATTAAGTGATGACATTATGTTTTAAGTAAACATTTAGTCAGAGCTAAATGGAATAGCTTCAATAAAAGCAAAGTTACTTGTTAAAATGGCCCAGTTAAAATTTCCAGTAAGACCTGATAACAAATATTCACAGACGCTCTTGATCCATTGCAACAGAGGTTGAAATATTATACCATTAAATGAAAAAACCTGTTCTCAAAATGTTAACACACAAAGGAAAATAAAAAATTGTGTCTTAACTGGCTTAAAAAAGGGTTAAAAACTAGCTGTCATGTTTCTTCAATTTGATACTTCTAAACCACTGAAATATAAGCAGAATAGAATAGAAAAGAATAGAAAATGCTTTTATTGTCCCACAATGGGGAAATTCTGGTGTTTACCACAGAAAAAAAGATTATAGAAAAAAATGGTCACACAATGTGGACTTTAGAAAAGTCTATAAGAATAACATAATAGTGAGGAGTTAAAAAATAAACAAATATAATACTGTACTGTAAAGTGTTTTAACAATATAAAACTGTGCACCTGTTGAATAAATCACCAATATATAGCTATGAACATTTTTAAAATAATGGATATTTGAAAATAGCAGCGACATCAGAGATGCGCAAAATATAAAATGACAGCAGCAGGTTATTTAAATGACTAAGATAGAAAATGTGCAAAATCAGCATTAATTTAACAACTTATTGATGTTGTTGGGAACAGTGGTGGTTATAAAGTCTTACAGCTGCTGGGTGGAAGGATCTGTGATAACGCTCCCTGGTGCATTTAGGGTGCAGCAGTCTGTCATAGGTGTTTGTGGTTATAACAAAACAATATGCAAAGAGGTCAAGAGTTCCTTTTGTGTTTTACTGCTTTTAGAAAAGGGACAGAAATCCTAAATCCGAGAGCAGCAATCAAACTACATCTGAGTTCCAATCGAAGGTCTAAGTGAACCAGCAGACCCACTTGTTTCCAGTCTTGGATCCAGAACAATGCCATCTTTGACTGTAGTGAAACACTGTCTGCTTGTCCCTTCATCCTTTGACCAGTGAACCGGATTCCCGCCGGGGTTCAGCTCCCTGCGTTCGCTGCGTTCACACCAGCCCGCCAATGAGAGCGTCTACAAACAGCGCCACTGTATGCTTACAAGTGTTTATGTGTGCATGGTGCATGCAAACACAGGAAGGATGTAGTGACAGTTTGGTGTTAGTTTTATTGACAGAACCTTGACATTCTCTGAAACTTTCTATCATTGCTGTTTTCTCACAGTTGCAAAAAGAAAGGACACTGTTTTCACTGCGGAGTGGAATTTTCCTGTCAACAATAAACCTGTGAGAGCAATTCTCTAATTGATTCATTACTGATTAACAGTTTTCACATGAAGGAAAGTGCCTGGAATGCATAAACAGTACATTCTAAAGATAACACAGAATAGCAGCAGAATGCAGCCAAAATAACTCATGAAAAAAAACGACAACACATGAGCTGAGAATTTAAGACGTCCTTGTTCCTATAATTTTGTAAAGCTTGCTGTTGGACCTTGCTGCTAATCTGGATCATCTAGAAATCACCACTGTTTGTTTTCCTTCTCCGTTACATCTGTCTGCTTCTAATGAAATCTAAGAGCTAGGAACTTAAAAAGTAATATGTGACTTTTTGTTTTTATACTGATGCCATATGAGGCTAACTTCTGCTTAAAATGAAAACGAAATAGAGAATAAAAGAAAAATGCTATGAGACAAAGAAGTGTCAATGCTTGTTGATGTTTTTAAGTCTGTAAATGGCTGTAAAAAATTGCAGTTTGATAAACTCATTTACGTCTTTGCACTGTTGGGCAAGTAACGTAAACAATGTAAATTTATTTCATATTAAAAGTTACCTTAGTTAGAACGAGGTAAGATTTATTTGCAATATTACCATCTGAGGTATCACTTGAGGTACTTTCAGTTCCCTTTCACCTTCCAGCACATAAAGTGCACCTTAATGTGAGGTTATTGTCCTTGGGGACTTATTGAAAATAGCAACTTGGAAAACGTTGAAATAATTGTATTTCTTCTTATGGTTTTAAACCATCTTCGTTTTCATCTTCTGTTGCTCTAAACACTGTATATATATATATATATATATATATATATATAAAAAGTAATTTTCTCCACTTTATTTAAGCTGTTGGGTCTGAGTTACCGTCAGAGCAACAATCAAAAATGGAGGAGGACCTAGGTTCA